CCACGTCCCTCCATCTAGCGGATCTTTCATTCGCAAAAACCCTCATTACAAGAAAACCGAACGCTGTAAAGGCTCAGTCTTTTTCCGACAATCCTTTACAACAAAAATAAGGGAATATTGCCGCATCCACCACCCCAACCCTTCTACCATCGCGTTGCTTGGGCACATAATTAACAGCGCGAACATTGTCCGCATCGCACCACAGACGGCCATGATAAATCGCCTTTTTTCGCCACAAAAAATGAGACACCAAAAACATGCCTTTTCCTATGGAGAATTGTCCGTCCTTTAATTGTGGCTTTGTTTCGCCGATGTCAATGATTTTGCAGATTACGTGGCGGACAAATGTATTTGTTGTAATTACTCCAGGGAAATTGTTTTGTTGTATGACAGTTATGATATTCGCAGAAGGCACAAAAGAAATAAATGCGGTAGGGTCTGTGGTTTACAACCACGAGGCAATGAGTTACTATCTGTTCGCTTTAAGTTTGCCGCTGGCGACATGACGTCACTCGAAGGGAAGCGTCTATAACTATAACAAACTGTATTTAAAATATTTTTTATTTATTATTATTGATAAAAATTGTGTATTTGCGTAAAATTCTTCTTTTTCCTCGGTCCCTCACTGATGAGGATCGCGACCGCAGATTGTGTTCCTCCACAGACTGCGTGGACCGCACGATGCAAACTCCCGCCCACCGTCTTCCTCACCGCTTCCGACCATCTCGTCGGTGCCCTGCCCCGAGGACGTCTGCCTTCCATTTGTCCCAAGATAATTTGTTTCTCCAGACAATACCTTGGAGACCGCATAATGTGTCCAAAGAAACAGAGGGTACGCTTTAGGCATATAATGGAGAGCCGCGTGGTGATGTTGAGCTCTTTTAATAATTATGGACTCGTTGGTTCGCATGGCAGTCCAGGGTATTCGGAGTAATTGCGTTAAATAAGACACATTAATTGCGTTTAATCACTAATTGCGTTTAATCGTGGTTGGGGGAGGGGACGCGCATTTCACGGACCGGCAAATTTAGCGCAAACGGGTAGTATGTGACTTACTTAACTTAAGGTCATAATTATTTATCCCCCAGATGGGGCAGAGGGCGTCTACAACAGTCTTCCATCGCGTTAGGTCGAACTTCGCGTTTGATCTCGCTCCAAGTCTTGCCGATTTTTTTCGCCTCGTCTGCTGCAGTGCGCTGCCATGTTTACTTGGGGCGACCACGTTTACATTTAATGAGTTATTGGGACTCTCCTTTCTAGAAGGGCAAGGCCTACCCACTAAAACCTGTCGGTTCCCTCTGATCGCGGTGAGTGATTGGGGTGAGTCGGTGAATCGTTAACATGCGTGCCACAGCGCAACAGCCGCAGCCTATAGGGCGTTTTGGGCGCGCTCAGACTCCGTACGCTTCAGGCCTCAATATAATGATGAGTCGCACCGACTTACTTTAACAGTAAGTTTAACAATCATTCGTTCGTTCGTTCGTTTCAGTCGAAAGACGTCCACTGCTGGAGCAAGGCCTCCCCCAAGGATTTCCACAAAGACCGGTTCTGCGCCGCTTTAATCCAGGCGCCTTCGGCGATCTTCACCAGATCGTCGGTCCACCTAGTGGGCCTGCCCACGCTACGTCTTCCGGCTCGTGGTCGCCACTCAAGAACTTTCCTGCCCCAGCGGCCGTCAGCTCTACGAGCTATGTGCCCTGCCCACTGCCACTTGATTTTAGCGATTCTGCGGGCTTTGTCAGTCACTCTGGTTCTCCTACGGATCTCCTCATTTCTGATTTGATCACGCAGGGAAACTCCGAGCATAGCACGGTCCATCGCCCTTTGGGTGACCTTGAGCCTTCATGAGGCCCATAGTAAGCAACCACGTCTCAAATCCGTATACCATCACTGGCAACACACACTGGTCAAACTTTAACAATAACTGGTGTTTTTGTATGGAGTTTGACAGATTTTTGATGTTTGTTAAAGTTAAAGTAAGATGGTGCAACTCAGCCTAAGTATGCAATACATTTATTATACTATGGTACGAGTATAAGGCTAGTCGTATGGAGTAAAATCATATTATTAACCATAATCATAATCATTTATTGCTTCATACGAGTAAGTGTGCATAGGTGGTGATCTTAAACTAACTAAAAGTCTCAACTTATGACCCTGTAAGGGTATTGCAAATCGTAAATATTATTACTAAACTAGCTTTCCGCCCGCGGCTTCGCCCGCGTGGAATTTTTTCTGTCACAGAAAAACTTTATCGCGGCGTCCCTGTTTCAAAAACCGGGATAAAAACTATCCTATGTCCTTTTCCGGAACTCAAACTATATCTATGCCAAATTTCATCAAAATCGATTCAGTGGTTTAGGCGTGAAAGAGAGACAGACAGACAGACAGACAGAGTTACTTTCGCATTTATAATATTAGTACTCGTATAGATAGTATAGATTAAATTAAAAGTACCTACGTATGACGCAAAATTGTGTAATAAATCTTTTATTTATTTATTTCCGTGCCCGAGTCCCCCAGTGTTCGACGCACCCGTGGTCGACGCCCCCGGTCAGTGAAATTTGATTTGAAGCAATTTTTTAATTAAATGTACAGTCAGGCACAAAAATGTTTATAAACGAACTACCTAGTTGTGCCCGCGACGTCCCTATCTATAAACCCACGAAGTTTCCTTCCGCCAAACACTCTGTATAATAACAATTAAATAACCAGTTTTAAAAAACTCTACTCCCTCTATATTTAACTAACTACAAATAAAGGTTGAAATTATAAAAGTTTTATTAAGTATTTATAACCAAAAATATTATATTTTTCATTACTTTTCGTTGACTGTACTTAGTGCAAAAGCCGAAAAAAATATGATATTAAATTAATTTAAATCGGGGGCGTCGACCACGGGTGCGTCGAACACTGGGGAACACTGGGCCACGGACCCGTTAAAACATTCTTTACATTATTAATTTGTGTGCTTATTATCAGTATTTCATTTGATATTTCGCATTGAAGCTTGAGGTCGATGTGGACAAGCAATTTATAAAGTACCTATACAAAAAACGGACTTGCATTTGGTAAAGATGAAATCCATTGTTTCTAATACATAGGCAAGTAATATTTAAGCTTGAATTGTTTATTTTGTGACTTCAAAAATCGATAATTTTCTGCGACGTTTGAAGTACCTATGCCACATTCAGATGTCCAATCTATGCTTTTGTAGTTAATAGTAATTTATTGTCTTAAACATAAAAAGTTACTTAATTTTACACCTTGATATCTGAGATCTGAATAAACATAATTTGTCTGAGATTGGAAGAAATTAATGTTCACATGATTTTGGATTCATTGGTATTTTGTGAATAAAGTACCTACCTAGTATTGAAATTGGTTTTTTTATCTTTGTCTTGTATCCTTAATAATTCTTATTCATATTCTGCAAAAACAATTTTATTTTGGACTATTAATAAATATTTTCCAATACCCCTTTCACTTTTTCTTAAAGCTGTTTTTCAGTTAAAAAAAAACACGAAATTAAAATTCTTCCTTATCCGAATAATTTCACGAGTTGTTACCACCCGTTCCGTAGAATGCTTTCAAATTTTGTTCTAATTTATATTTTTGTTTAATTAAATAAGACACGGCCGATGTACCTCGAACGTGACTCAAGGAGAGGGGGCGGCCATTAACTGATGGGGTGGGGCGCTAGTGTTAGCGGGTCCCTATTTTCTAGAGAGATCGATTGCATATGTGTGCATAATATACTCTAAAGCAGCGTGGCAGCGTGGGCAGGCCTCTCACTAGGTGGATCGACGATCTGGTGATGGTCGCGGAAGCGGCGCAGGACCGGTCTTTCTGGAAATGCTTGGGGGAGGCCTTTGTCCAGCAGTGGACGTCTTTCGTCGTGTATGAACTTATACCTTACTCGTAGAAACGTGTTCATACGTCATGATTGGCCGCGGCGTTTACATACGGTGACGATAAGATCATTTTTCACTGAGAACGTCTGAACGGAAGTTGGTGCAGAAAAGCTCTCTAGTAGCGACCACGGGCCGGAAGATGTACTAGGGAGGCCTAATGTTTACGTATTTCTCCCTATCGCCTCTTACGTATCCTCGTAAAATAGTACCGCTCCCACTCTTCCCATGGAGCATCCATGGGAAAAGCGGGAGTGGTACAATTCTACTCCTTTGGCTTCTACACGGCTTAATTAAATTTTAGCAACATGTAAGAATTTTAGACGTTCGTTTCAGCCGAATGACGTCCACTTTTGGACAAAGGCCCCCTTCCATAAAGACCGGTGCTGCGCCGTCTGCAACTAGGCACCTCCCGTGGCCTTCATGACTTTCACCAGATCGTCGGTCCATCTAGTGAATTCTAGACGACTGGAAAAATATTAGTATGAAATTGTGATTTTATTTTCTTCTGTCACCGCTATCACCGATGCCCAAATTGTCCGCCTCCCTTCCGGGGGGCGAAAGGAAGTAAAGTGCTTCAAAATAGCCCGTAGGTAAGTGTAAATATTAGGTGTCTTATTTAATTTTTGCAAGCGAAGTGCTTTTTGTGCCGTAAGTGTCAGAGTAAATCTCATCTCTGTTTATTTCCAATTAAGTACAAAATTGTTTGAACTTCGCACTTATTTTAAGAATAAAGGATGTTTGTATTCATTTAATATAGGTCTTTAAAAAGTGTTCTTTTTTTATTTAAAACCCTATATTTAATTTGTATTCCCATCTCAACCGGGTTACCCCAATTCATTACAATGAAAATGTTGATTTGTAGACCTACGAGTAAAATGGCGACATTGTAATTCATTGTATTATGGTTCTTATCGGAGTCATAATTAATACCAGAATAAGCATTATGAACTAGGTTTATACCTACAATAGTAAACGTTTTAAACCCACAGCTGATGGAGTAAGACAGAATAACTGAAACTAAATATTTTAATTACACGGATCTCAAAGGAATTTGGAAGAAAATAAAAGTTCGAGACTACAGGCTTAAATAGTTTATTGCATTAAATTCTATTTAGGACACATATCATTTAAACTTTTTAGTTATTTTTAGTAGTTACATTTTATTACTGGCACTAAGTACATTAAAAAACGAATAATAAGTGTGATAAAACAGAATTTAAAATCAGTCTGATATTATTATGTAATCAGTGACGAAAAGCCGATGTAGGTACAGTATAAATACTCGTAGACAGATAAATAGTAAATACATCAATGTTTTTACACCACACAAATCAATAAAAAATTCACACGTATGTGCACTAGGTACACGATTTATTAACATATTGCCTCACGTACAAACACTGCTTAAAACTAACTGGCGAATAACCTACATTATAAAATCCATTAAAAAATAATTGTAATTAAACGAATGAAAGTGTACAAGGGTATTTAGGTATTATATTCAACACTATTTATTTTTTGACCTCATTTTCAGAATACATTTCACCAACATAAATACTATTGAAAATACTACACCAATTGCCGATACGTACATCAAGGTTTTCATAGAATTGTCACTTGTTGCAGTATTTGTAGGTTGCTTAAATTGTTTTTCAATACGATTGACTGTATTTAATATTTCCTTCTGATCATTTTTAGAATCACTCAAGTGTTGAGTTAATTTCGCATTTGCAGTATCTGTACGATTTTCAATAAGATTGACCGAGTTTAATATTTCCTTGTGATCGTTTGCTATTTTCTTATTAACATTAGTATCAAAATCATTAATGTGCTGAGTTAATTTCTCATCTGTATTTTTTATACGTTGCTTCATGTTTGCCCATTCTGTAGGGTCTTCTACAGTGGGGTGGGGTACAGGTACAGGGCTTTTACCTGGTTCTGTCGGGGGAGGAGTTGGATTACGAGCATCACTACAACCGTTGAGGTTATTTTTAATTGCTGTCAAATTAAAATCGTTATACCAATTTTTAGCTCTTGCTTCCTCTATGTCTGTACAGGGAATCGGATTGCCACTAATGCTAAGTTTTTCGACTCCTGCAAGCGAAAACCCTTCAAAGTCTAGATAATCAATGTTGTTATTATCTAATAAAAAGTTTTTGACTGTTTTACTACTTGGCAAATTTAAAGGTGTAAATTTTTTTAAATTATTTGATGAAAGGTTCAGGGTTTCCAAATGATGTAATGAATCGAAATTCTTAGAGCGGTTTATTTCTGATAGTTGATTTTGACTCAAATCTAGTAGTTTAAGCTTATCATTTTGCTCAAATAAGTCCAGTTTTATTGATGGTATTTTGTTATTACAAAGTTTTAATGATTCTAATTTCTTTAATTTGTCAATGTGAACAGCGTTGAGGTCTATTATATTGCACGATGTCAAGTCAAGATTTTTGATGTTTGAATTTGTAATATTTTCAAAAGTGACTTCTTTAATATTTTTCAAATTCACTGTTGTTAATGTAATCAAATTATCAAAAGGGTTTTTTAAACCTAAATTTTGATTATCAGATAAATCAATAAACTCTAATTTATGAAGTGAAGAAAATGTTTCGTTTGTAAATGAATTTATTTCATTTTTGCTCAAATCCAATTTGCTTAAATTAACTAAACCATTTAATATTTCATCAATATTTTTTATCATATTTCCCCTTAAATAGAGCTCTTTTATTTCCTTGTTATTTTTAAAAGTGTCTTTTTCAATACTTTGGATCTTATTTGAAGACGCATCTAAATATTGAAGTTTTGTCATTTCGGAAAATACATCTCTTACAAGAGATTTCATATATGTGTTTGAAATTAAAAGTTTTTGAAGTTGAGATAAACCTTTAAAGGTATTTCCATCTATATCTTCGAGAGGATTGTTACTAATATCGAGTTCTTCCAACTTATCTAGTTTTTGAAACGTATTAAGTAATATTTCCTTGATATTATTATGTGATAAATATAATTTTAATAGATTACGCAAGTTTTCAAATACTTCTGGCTTTACATTTCCTATTTCATTATGTGCTATGTTCAGTTCTTTTAATTTCGCTAAGTCATGACTTCGAAAATTTAGTATATTAAGTTTATTTTCACTCAAATCTAATTTTTCTAAACTTGTTACACCTTTAAAAGCTAATTCATTAATTTTCTGAATCTGATTGTGATTCAATAGCAACTCTTTTAATTTTGTCATGGAACTAAAACAATCGGCTTCTATTTCCGTAATTCCCCCGAAGCTCAAATCGAGTTTAATAGGGTCGATGCCATCAAGAGTTTCTCGTATGAGGGTACCTTGCAACTTATTGTTTGCAAAATTAAATTCAGTAATACGCTTACCTTTAAAACTTCCAGGCTGTATGTCCCGGATATTGTTATCAGACAAATCTAACTTCTCCAATTTTCCATTTTTGGAAAATATTTTATCATCAATAGCTGTTAAATTATTTTTGCTTAAATCTAATTTAGTCAGTTCTTCAAGTGGCTCTAAACTGCCATTTAAATTGGTCAATCTGTTGGAGGACAAACCTAGTATTGTTAATTTCGGCATTGATTGAAAAAAATCTTTAGATATAGTTTGGAAATTATTGCCATCCAAATATAACTCTTTAATATCTCGAAATATTTTTAAACTATGGTCAACATCTGTTAATTTATTAAACGCTAAATCCAACATTTCTAGTAGTTGAAGTCCATGGAATTGTTCAATTTTTAGCTTTTTTAGAGCATTAGAAGATAAATACAATTTTTTTAATTTTTCGCAGGTAGCAAAATAATGACTTGGAATGTCAGTAATTCGATTTTTACTAAGATCAATTATTTCAAGATTACATTTGTTTTTACTAGCTTCTTCGACTAATTTGTCAATTTTATTCCCAGATACACTTAAAATTTTCAAGTTCTCTTTTAGTAATTTGTGTATATTTAATGATACTAAATTATTATTTTCTAAATGAATGCTCTCAAGATTATTCATTTTATTGTAAACTACTTCCGGTACCTCTGTCATTTCTCCGCCATTGATGGTCAAATACTTTACGTCTTTACATATTTCATCACTGAGAGAATTAAGTTCTTTTAGATTGTTTACATCGTTGAAAGGCACATCATAAAATTCTAAACGAATGTTAATTATCGGAACTGTTCCTGAACTGCCAGAACATTTTTTATCTTTTTTATCTTTTTCTATTAGTGAATTTATATTTTTCAAATGGTGTTTACATGTTACTTTCAATAAACATCCTGGTGAATTTTTAGTGACAACAGCTTCACATGATGTATCTTCACTTGATATTACTTTATGCACGAATGTGAATAAAAGCAGTCCCAATCTCAACTCTGAAACAAACAAAAAAATATTTTAAGATAAGATGATACTTTATTGCCTCGTTTTTACATGCTTTAGAAACATAAAAATATAAACAAAAAAAATTACATTAAATTTTACAAAAAAAATTTAGAGGAAAAACTTGAAATGTATCATAGTGAAACCTGCGTTATTATGCCACAGTGCAGTGCCCGCCTGACCTGACTGTGGGGTTACTATACAGTGTGTCCGGTCACCAGTGTCCGACCCATTAGGGCGCAGTAATATGATCAATTTTATTGACAAATCCACTGGAATAAAACATTATATCCCTAGTTTTCAAAAATTACAGCTATTTAATTTTTTTGTTTCTAAGTTCGGGTGGATTCATTAATTCCATTCCATTTCAATTAAAATAGTAAGACACGGATCTTAACGCGACGTTTATTAATGAGTTACATTATTATTATTAGCCAGTCTGCTTGAGACCACGGCTGCAGCATCGCAGCCGAAACGTCAAGGCGTGAGTACATAATGTAACTCATTCATAAACGTCGCGTTAAGACCCGTGTCTTAGGCTAGGTTGCACCATCTTACTTTAACTTTGACAACCGTCAAAAATCTGTCAAATTCCATACAAAAAGCACCGGTTATCGTCATAGTTACCGTTAAAGATAGGTGGTGCAACCCACCCTTACTGTTTTAAGTAAACAGTAAGTTGACATCAAAAAGTCTACCAAAAGCTCCCATATAAATCTCTTAAAAACACTTGAAACATAAAAAAATAAGTAAAAAATGATGCTCCTTTTACCATGCTCCCATACAAAAAGCACCGGTTATCGTCATAGTTACCGTTAAAGATAGGTGGTGCAACCCACCCTTACTGTTTTAAGTAAACAGTAAGTTGACATCAAAAAGTCTACCAAAAGCTCCCATATAAATCTCTTAAAAACACTTGAAACATAAAAAAATAAGTAAAAAATGATGCTCCTTTTTAAAACTTTCAATGTTACAAAAAAAGTAGACCGTGAACTTACCTTTTTTTCCATTTCTAAGTCATTACCTAAAAACTGATATTAAAACCTTAGCTTTAAATCAACTAATCTAGGTGTTGTGATTAATTGAACATGACTCTATAAAACGCGAATTCATCCCGATAATAGGTGGCCTTACTACTTAACTACGCCTAGGCTAGTTGACTTAAAGCTTAAATTACTTAGTGCATCTAAAAAGTGAAAAAAAGGTATGTTGTTAACGGTCTAGTTTTTCTGTGCCATTGAAAAATTTAATATGGTCATAATTTTTATGTTTCTAATGTTTCGTAAAGATTTTAATGGGAGTTTTTGATAAACTTTTTGATGTCAATTATTGCCTATTCTTTTAGCTATCGAACTAATTCACTTTTATGCTTTTAGGTCCTGTACATCGGTAAAACCATTTCAAAATCCTATGAGAACGTTTTCTACTTTTACGCGGATGAAGTCGCGGGCAAAAGCTAGTCTATACTAATATTATAAAGAGGTAAAGTTTGTGTGTTTGTATATTTGTTAAATTGTAAGGGAATCTTGGGATCTCTGTACCGATATTAACAATTCTTTCACCAATAGAAAACCACATTATTGCTGAGTGTCATAGGTAATATAAAAAACCGGCCAAGTGCGTGACGTGCCACGCGCAGTCGTGTAGGGTTCCGTTTTCCTTCGTTACCACAATATATTTCAGAAGCAAGCAATTACTTCATCTAAAGTCACTTTTAATATTTTCTTGTAAGGATTTTTTATTAGGTATAAAATTTTCTAATACATGAGTAAAACGGCTATTACTCTTAAACTAACTGATTTATCTTAACCGCTATAGTTTTCCTTGAAAGTTCATAAAAAGCACTATTATTACGAATTTTTTTATGATTTTTCAAGCCAACAGTTTAGTTTTTAGAGGGGGGGGGGCTACTTGAACAAAAATTGACACTTTAAACTTTAACATTTTGCAAATGAATCCCTAAATCGAAAAATGGTCTTAGAAACCCCTAAGCCATTTTAAAAGACCTATCCAACGATACCCCACACGATAGGGTAGAAGAAGAAAAAAAATGCATCCCCACTTTTATGCTACCCTAAAAAAATTTTTTTATCAAAAGAAGAACGGTCATTTGTGACCCAGGCCCGACAGAAACGAGACATACCTCAGTTTTTTTGTCATGTCTTAATTAGTTAAATTATATAGTTTTTATATTCGAAATCTATGTATAACACCAAAATATTACCCTTTGTTTTTGTTCAGGCGCTATACAAAAACTAATACAAAATGCCTATTTATCACCAAAATTGGTAAATGTATGTACCTAAATGTCTATTACAGCTGCTATGGAATGTATCTAGGTGACCTGGAGATTTAGGTACATACATTTACCAATTTTGGTGATAAATAGGCATTTTGTATTAGTTTTTGTATAGCGCCTGAACAAAAACAAAGGGTAATATTTTGGTGTTATATTATATAGATTTCGAATATAAAAAATATATAAATTTAACTAATTAAGACATGACAAAAAAACTGAGATATGTCTCGTTTCTGTCGGGTCTGGGTTTTTTTTGTATGGGGCGTGACCGTTCTTCTTTATTCTACCGTTTTGTCGGCGTGATTAATATACATCCCTCCACAAAATTACAGCTCTCTAATGCCAATAGTATTCAAGCAAAAACTCGGACAGACAGACAGACAGACATATCGAAACTATAAGGGTTCCTTGTCAGGACTACGGAACCCTAAAAACCGAAAAATTGCACGCGGGCGTGTAACTGAAGCGGACGCAACTTAGGACAAGCTGTTTAAGATTATATTCTTGGGAAAAATATGGAAAATAAGCATAATTAATGTATCGTTTGTTCGTTCGTTTCAGTCAAATGACGTCCACTGCTGGACAAAAGCCTCCCCCAAGGTTTTGTCCCAAAAGGTCCTGCACTTATTTCATGTAAGAACATAATAATTACTAAGAAACAAAATAACACTCACCCATTTTGTACTCTTTACGTTCAAACACTTTTTAAAATTTAGGATTGTTCGGCCATGGTAGTTAGGAGACTGACAAGGAAAAGTTTCAGCAGCCTATTTATACCAGGATTTAGGGTTTTTGATAACGGTCCCACCAACAAAACGGGAGTAATAACGAACGTGATAAGGAGTGGAGGAAAAAATAATAAATATACAGGGTGATTTTGTATTCAAAATTTTTTAATAAGCTCTACACAACAATGTAACAATAGTACTTTATCTTAATTAATTTAATCGTGGCATTTTTCGAAAAAAAAAGAACAAAGAAAATTTTATTCACCTATGTTGCCCATCTTACGTTTTAAAGCTTAAGGCTTATTTTGAGTAAATAGCTGGAATAAGTAATTTTCAGTATCTATTTTTAATAAGCATAGGTACTTACAACTTAAACATTTTTCATTATGGATGGATGGATGGATGGATGGATGGGAGATAGATCGGAAACAGATGGTTGAAGGTCGCTTCTAATTCGGATAAGTTTACTCAATTTCTTTATTTTTCCGTGCATCTATCATTATATATTTTTTAAAGATTATTAGCAATTTGTATTGCCCAAATTACGAATAGTCCCGTTAGCCTCTCGTGGTAAGCTAAATAAGCTTGTGTCACGAGTGAGCTCACCACAATAGTCGAGCGGCGGTGGGATCTATGTTACCTTCCATATCTTATCTTACGAACCTTTTCACAACAAAAAATAATTAGAGAAATCGGTTCAAAAATCAAATCAGCAGTTCACGCGTGAATCGTGCGTGCGCATGCCGTGACCTCAGAATATAATATCCGTGACCAAGAAATTCATTTTTATATAGGGTCCCGTGAACCAGGGGTCAAAACTGGATGGTTACCAAGTTATACGATTTTCTTGATTTTTCTGACTTTTTGCAAAAAAACATTAAACAGTGGGCTTAATGTGAGTTTACATCAAACGTACTAGTGAGCGCGTTCAAAAATATAACGAACATTTTAGTTCTTGAAAGTTTCCGCTAGGGGCGCTGTACAACCCGCCATACATTTAATGTCATTATTTACGCGCTCATTAGTGACGACGTTTGATGTAAACTCACACTAAGCCCTCAGTTTTGACCACTGGTTCACGGGACTTAATTTGTTGCTAATGACCTCTAGTATAATTATTTTCAAGGAATAAGTCGAGTTGCCCTGTCACCCTGTATACATGATTGTTATATGACTCTAAGACTAGGCGCAGACCACCGATTTTTAGTTAGCGGACAGTTCTGTTGGGCCCGATTTTAAATTGTATGAAGAATCGGCCAAATTAAATCGGTGTACTGTTTGCACTTTCATACATGCCCATACTGATCAACTGCCTGACTAAATTATCGGCCGAAGAAAAATCGATGGTCTGCGCCTAGGCTAACTATTGTATGTCTTTAAAATAATATCTATGCCTATATTCCAGAATTTGCAGCTACCTATAATATTATTTATCATAACAGGTAAACAGTGCCAAATTGCATGCCATATCAGAAATTGACGGAAAAGCTTATTAAAATCGAAGGTCAAAACACAGAATTCAGCGATATAATACACCACTACATTTTTATCACCGAAATTTTTTTAACAGGTTATGTAGAAATGTGTGAAATATTTAAAGCAAAAGAAAAAGAAATGTAAAAAGCACGACACCCACTTGGCAATTTTTTATGCAAAACTCGACTTTTTAATTGTACTGTACTTATTAATTTTATGGTTCTTGTAACACTTTTCGCTTATCTAAATAAAACAATACAGCTATGATACAATAATATTGTATTTATTGAAAATTAAATTAATCTCAAAATCACATAAACATAGGTAGGTACATTGTAATACTTGAGTATCCAACATTCGCATTCATAATGCCAAAATTGCTAAACTTTGGCAGATTACATTTTAGGGCTTATGTCTTTCTTGGTATATTAAAATTAATAAATAATTGCTTATTTTTAATTTAAATATATTCATGGACTACAAATTTTGACTTTCCATGGCTCCGGGCAATTCTCGAGTGCTATAAGATCTCCTTGCACGAACGAACATTCTAGATTTGTAAAATTTATACAAAACAAGACACACCAATATTATTAATATCAACGCTACGCAAGTTTCTGTAAAAATTGATTTATTACCACCTCCAGCAACATCTTTCGTTGCCATCAACTTATTTTGAACTGGACTCCTCGAAATTAAAGTAGGTGATTGAGCTTTGAGAACAGAAATTTTGTGATCTAGTTCACTTATAATATTAAGTTTTTCAGATGCCAAAGCGTTTTCTAAATCTTCTTTCACCTTGTTAATATACAGTATCAAATCATTGGAAGCATTATCTTTGGATATTGGAAAAGGAGTTGTTAATTGGACTGATTTTTTATTTAATGTACTCAGTATTCTGTCCAATAAGATATTCGTTTGTTTGGTCTCTTTTGTTAATAGTTCAGTTGAATTTTCTTTAAACTCAACAAAACTTTTGAAATTCGTTGAATAATTGTCATTCTGAAATGAAATTCGATCAATTTGTTTCGAAATATTCATCAAATATTTTAAATTGGTATTTTCAAACAAACTGACGTTACTTGCATTTTGTGTTGACATTGGTTTTTGTTGTAGAATTTTTGTTAATAATTCTTTTATATCGAAAAGAATTTTTGCTTTGTCGTCAAAATTATGAGTAGCTGATTTTTTCTCATAAGATTGCCCGTTCATATTACAAGTAACACCATCGACATTTTCTTCGGTATGTTCATCAATTTTTATCGCAGTGACCGCAAAAGAAACAGATTGTTTCTTAAAATTTACGAGTAACTCACATGGTAGAGGGTTATCTCCGATACTAAGTTCAGATAAACTGGTGCCTGCAAAATCTTCTATATTTAGGGTATCAATTTTATTATGATCTACTATCAACACGCTCAAACTACGAACTTCATAAAATCTTTCACTCTCTAAACTGTTAATAGCATTGAAGGACATATCTAGAGTATTTAAATAAATAAGACCACGGAAAATTCCATAGGAAATAGCAGTGAGAGAATTGTGTGATATGTTCAAAAAACTCAAACGGGTACTGTCCTTAAAAACTCCGGGTTGTATGAACTCCAACTTGTTATTGCTTACATCTAAGTGAGTGAGTTGAGTAAGATTAGTAAACGCCCCAACTTCCAACTTAACGACTTCATTATTACTCAAGTCTACGTTTTTCAACTGATTCAACTCTCTAAGGTTTATCGCACTTACATTAGTTAAACCAGAGTAGCGGATCTCAAGGCCAGTTAGCTGAGTGTCTCCGACATTTGCAAATGTTATTCCATTTCGTATTCCTGATAACAACAAATTAAACAAATTTTTATTTTTCGAAATAAAGGCATCAGTAAAATTGATATCTAAATTGTAAGATAAATCCAAATGTGTCAGATCAGGTTGATTTTGAAAAGCTTCATCATTGATATCTTTGATAGTATTGTGCGCCAAATTCAATGTTGCCAAGTGTGACAACCCTACAAATGTTGTTGAAGAAACAGTTTTTAAAAGATTTTTATTTAACAGCAAGATACGTAGATTTGCTAGTTCTGTGGCATTTACTTCGAACACTCTGAGTTGATTGTAAGATAAATCTATTTCTTCTATTGCTCCAGTGTTCACAAACGCATTGTATTGAAGTTCGTTTATTTTACTTTGTGACATATTTAACTCCTTTAATTGTGTCATTCCGATAAATGAACCATTCTCAATAGTAGTCAATTGTGTGCAAGATATAACTAGACTTGGAAGAGAGGTTAGACCATCAAATGTTTTTTCTTCAAGTGACCCAGTCAAAGGATTGTTTGATACTTCAAAATTGATTAAATCACGCAATGATTTAAACGAATTTGACTCTAACTTCGATATTTTATTGTTTGACAAATCTAAGAAATTTAAAAGAGTTAGTCCTTGAAAATTTTCATGCTCAATTTGGGTCAAAAGGTTATTGCTTAAAACTAAAAAACGCAGATTAATAAGGTCTTGGGCATCAAACTGTATACTAGTGATATTGTTGTTGGATAAATTTAGGGTGTTTAGATTTCGTAGTCCCCTGAAACAGTTATTAGATAAAGTTTGAATTTCATTATTATTCAGCAACATTATTTTGACATTTTCTAGGCCTAAAAAAGCATTGTCCTCAATACTTGCTAGATGTTGATAACTTAAATCCAAACTTGTGACTAAGCCTAGACCTTCAAATGTTCCACTCGAAAGAGGACCAGCTAAACTATTTCCATTTACACCAAAATAATTTAGTTCCTTCCCCTTAAATAATCCTCTTGGCAACACATTAAAACTATTTTTTGATATATCAACGTTTTTTAAACTGGTTGCATTTAAGAATGTGTCTTTGTTTAATGTTTTTAATTTGTTTTCATGTAAATTCAATGTAACTAAAGAATGCATATTCCAAAAAACTGCAGTTTCTATGTTAACCAAAGAGTTGAAACTTAGATCAATGGTTTGCAGATTAGATAGTTTTTCAAAATCTCTCAATTTTAAACTTTCAATTCGGTTGTGACTCAAGTCCAAAACAATTAAATCGGTGAATCTGAATAAAGAGTAATTTATATCGGAAAGTCTGTTATGGGATAGATATAAATACATTAGTTTCTTTATACCCTCAAATGTGGAAATACTTAGGGCGTCAATGTAGTTGTGCGACAAATCTAAGGTTTCTAACTGCGTGAAGGCATCCAATATGGCATCGGGTATATCCACTAAGTAATTGTGCGATATATTCAAATTCTTGAGATTCCTATAGATATTTCCTGACGATGGTAGTTCAATTGTATTAATCATATTGAAAGATAAGTCGAGACTTGTTAATGCTGGCAGCTCCGATGGGTTGCTTAGGCTTGCTGTGGTCAAATAATTACTGGACAGATTCAGGAAAGAGAGATTTTCCAGTCGCTTCAAATTTGGTGAATTGTTGTATTCGTTACTGCTTAAGTCCAAATGAGTTATTATGGAGAGTGGTGCTTTCATATGATAATTATAGTTGCGATTTTCACGAGGTATTGGGTCTGATGTAACAATTGAACTGTCTTTGTACTTAAGACGTATCTTGTAGAGAAAATTTCCGTTGTAATTTATGAAGTCTGATGATGGGCATTCGTTTCTATGTTCGCTGGGAGGCAGTGGCATGCCATTTTCGTCATAATCAATGTCTTCAATCCCATTGTTGCGGGTGAAGCTAACCGTTCTGCGCCGAAACCTATCCCAGTTGGTATCATAGTTATTAAAGCAGTATACCTCGAAGTAGCACTCAACTCTGTCACTTATTGTGCAGCCATCTCCTGCAGGTGTTTGATATCTAGCAGCACTAGGTGCAGGAAATAGTAATACTAGTCCACCTGTAACGTTAATAAAATTATGTAAACTGATAAATGATCCTGATAAAAATAAATAAACAAACACATGCTTAAAATAAAGTACCTACTCACCAATAAGGAAAAACATTTTCTAATTTTTCTACATTGAAATAACTCCAGAAATTAACCGGATCCTGTAAACGATAAAAACAATTTGTAAGATTTTTACTCTTCATCCTGAATGGAAGTCCATTTAGTAAGTTCTTGTAAAAATAATAGTAAAGCAAAAACCGGCACGACAATTAATAACATTATTATTTTTATCTAAGTGTGATATACATAATAATAAATAAATATCCTTGGACATCTTTTTACTGCGCCTCTAGTCCCAAACTAAGCAAAGCTTGTACTTTGGGTACTAGACAACGGATATAAACATACCTACTTAAAAACTTTTTTTTGGAAATAAGTACATACATATATTATACATAGAAAAAACCCAGACCCGTCACAGAAATTAAAATTCATCATTTCAATTTCTGCCCAGCCGGGAATCGAACCCGGAACCTCTCGGCATAATAGTCCGTCCTGAACCCCTACTCCAAACGGCCGACTATATTACAACAGAAGTGTTGTTAAAACCTTTAATTTACAAAATATAAGCTTTTGCCCGCGACTTCACCACGTTTTTGTTTTGTGGTTATTGTGTCATAGAAAGTCTTATGGATAATTTTTCAATCATCAGATTTACCTGAAGAATAAACTTGTGATTTTGACATAATTTCCCACACTGAAACTGTCAATGTACCAAACTTATTCATCACTTTGGATAAAAACTAGTCTTTATTGTTTTTTTACTGGTATTTTGCTACCAGAATCAATGTTTTTTTTT